CCTCTCTGGTGTGGAAGGAGCCTAAGTTAGTGCGTGAGGTGAGAGTACCAGCTAGATATAGTCGGCGTCAACTCAACGCATGGCTTGGGCTCTGGAACCATTCTCCTGGAGAGGAGCTGGACTCTGTCTCAGTCTGGAGTTGCCCATGGTGAGAGGCAGGGGGCTAAGGTGGGTATCCAGTATCCCCTGGCTTGCTGCCGGCACGTTGGGGTTTTTCCCGGTGAATGAAAGGGTTTGTTTCTTGCGCCTTCGTGTCGGGGAACGGGTCCTGACTGTAGTCTGAGCTTGAGCTGCCACCAAGGGAGCCACCAAGCTGAAGGAGGCCTATCGGGTTCGGTTAGTTTGTGGACTTTGGGGACAGCTGATAGTTACCAGAGGCCAAACGGAACGTGGCTCTGGCAGCGGCTGAAGCAAAAACTTGGGTGCGGAACACTGGACCAGCTCTTTATCCTCTCAAGGATACTTGAGGGTGCGTGTGAGTTTGCCAAACCAGTCTACATGTGTTTTGTGGACTTGGAGAAGTCCGGAGTATGGGGTGTCTGGGCCATTGCTACGGGCCTTTCAATCCTTACACAAACATTGCAAAGCTTGGTACACATAGCCGCCATAAGATGACTCGTTTCCGGTGGTGATGGACTCCACCAGGCTTCCCTTTGTCACCGATTCTGTTCATAATTTTTAAGGATAGAATTTCTAGGTGTAGCCACGTGGCTGAAGGCTTTCACTTGGGTGGTCTCAGAATCTCATCTCTGCTTTTCGCGAATGATGTAGTTCGGGTGATGGCCTTTGGAACGGTTCGCAGCCAAATGTGAAGCGGTGGGGATGAGAATCAGCACCTCCAAGTCTTAGACATAGTCCTCAGCCGGAAGAAGGTGGAGTGCCCACGCTGGGTCAGGTACAAGTTCCTGCCTACAGGGAAGAAGTGGAAAAACTTTCAACATGGTGCAGCCAAAAACAATCTGGTCCTCAACACCACAAAAACCAAAGAAATCTCAGCCCATACAAATTAATTGGGACTCTGTGGAGAGGGTCTCTGACTTCAAGCTCCTGGGCCTGCACCTGGGTGACGACCTATCCTGGAAAATAAACACTACAGCTATGATCAGAAGGCACAGCAGCAACTCAACTTCCTGAGAGTCCTGAAGAACAACACGTTAGCCAAGGAGCTGTTAGTGTCCTTCTACAGGTGCTCCACTGAAAGTACCTTGACATACTGTATCCAGTGTGGTCTGCCAGCAGTAATGGTCAGGAAAAAACATCACTCCAGAGGGTCATCAACAAAGTCCAGAGGATCTACAAATGGCATAAAGAACGATTAGATCTCTTCATAGTGACATTTTACCTACCAGCTCTTCTAATCTTGCATATGAGACATAATTTCACGATTCACAAACCAGAATGGAGACAGCTCTCAAAGCCTTTTTCTACTACTACTTGAATCTGTAACTAGTAGTAGATTCTGCTCAGGCTGTCAGGACATTCATGTTCAGACATGAAGAGATTCTGGATAAAACAGAAGTTTCCCAGAGGACTATAATCTTCAGTCATGCTGCTGTTTATTGCGAAATCATAGCCTGAGGTCTGTGCCGTACTTAAGAAACAAACGCAGACAACATGAACCTGTCTCTCAAAAATGTGATCCATCCATCAGTTTTAATGACAGACGTTTTTCATTACCTGACAGAAACTTCGAATAACGAACAGAAACTACGAGGTTAACAAAGCACTATTGTTACAGCTCTTTCACTATCAAAGAGGAAAGGAAAGAATTTCTAGGTGTTTGTTATATCCAGCAAGAGTAATATTGATTACATATGTCTGAAACTCTAGCTCAACAGACCACAATGCCCTGGACTGTCAGCATTATTACATGCTGTGAATATAAGTAGCTTTGATCACAGTTATGGTGTAAAAGAGAAGGAATATTGGAAAGAAAGATGAACATTGTGATATTATTTCTTCCAAACTGACCAGAAACATGCTTGTCAGACTCTCACAGCAAAGGATCAGACTCACTGTGCATGACGGCTCAGGCTAATAATGTTGTTAGATGTCAGTTGTTTAGTGCTTCTGTACAGTTAGGCTCAGCATCTCTATTTCAGTATAATTAATATGCAGAAAACACTATAAGTTTATTATAACCGCTGTCTGTTTTTCACTAAATTTCTGACTTTAACACAGCCTCTGCGTGTCCTCCCTTTGTGTCCTCTTCCTCTGTGAACGTGTTGCATGTGTCACAGATTCATTTTATTAACAGCTTTCCCACAGTGAGTTGCATCAGCATTCATTCACAGCACATTGCAGAAGGATTCAGATTAATACAGTGATCTTATAGTCAGAATGATCCTGACAGACTGCCACTGTGAATGATCCTTCATCAGGTAAATTTTAAAGTTCAGTATTTCAAAGCAGGAGTTATGAAGAATCATGTTGAAATTAGGACTGTAACAATATGTACTTACAAAGTCAAAGTTTTTTATTATTCTAGAATATTGGAAGACAAACAGGAAGACAAGCAGTCCATCAAACAGTCTACAGGGTCAAACATACAGAGAATTCAAACAGCAGTAAAAAATAACTGGACACTGAAAAACTTAAAGCAATGTGTGACGCAATAAAAGGAAGCAGCGCAGTATATTCACTGAATTATCATCAATTACAACAGAGAAAAACGACGATTTCTAAGGATTATTTTCTTAATTGCAGTTAGAGTGGCTGGTGAAGATGGAAACATACAGAATGTAAACTGTGTGATTTTGGTGAACTTTGTCAGTAACAAATGAGGTAACCTCCCCCCAAACAAACAAACAAACAAACAAACAAAAAACAAACAAACAAACAAACAAACAAACAAACAAACAAACAAACAAACAAACAAACAAACAAACAAACAAACAAACAAAAAACAACAAACAAACAAACAAACAAAACACAGAAACAGGCTCTCTGTATTCATTAATAATTAGAAAGCATGTAAACATTCTGGTCGTGGATTTTTACAGTCTTAGTTCCGCTCGCTGTCATCGTGATCATGATCAATGGTGAGGTCCTGAGGTGGGCGGGGCTGTCCCTGGTGATGTCACCATGAAGGAACAGCATCTGGCACGTGTTGGTGAAACATCCCAGTACACTGGTGTAGTTTCCTCTCCAGCTGTTTGACATTTGACATTTCAACATTAAGGGGAAGAAGAAGAAACAGTGTTAGTCAGGTGACCACGTGGTTTATAAATAACTAAGAGGAAGTAAGCAGGCTGTTAGAAATAGATGGCATGTGTTTAGAGTTACTGTAGTTGGGTGTAAGTGAACACACCAGCTAGCTGGTCAGCACAGCAGCGCAGCAGATGGCTGGTGATGCCGTCTGGCCCGCCGCTTTCCTTGTGTTCACTCTCCTTAATGCCGCTCGGACGTCATGCTCCGCAATGCTGGTCACCGGTCTCTCGCTGATGACGTCACTGTCCTTGTAGTCAGGGGATAGATAGCATTAGCCGCCTGGCTAACCTTGAAACGGGCGTAGAACCGATTCAGCTCGTTGGTGAATGCAGAGTCAGCGTTGATCGGCGTTGTGTGTCCCTGGCTTTGTAGTCCGTAATGGTACCTAGTCCGTGCCACATACTCGTGTGTCGCCCTGGTGGAAGCGGGACTCCACACGTTCCCGGTACTAGTGTTTGGCATCTCTCACCGCACGCCGTATGAGGCCGCTTTGTAGGCGCTCATATCGCCAGTGGCGAGACCCGCGTTGTAGGAGGCGGTCCTGGCGTTCTCTGCAGTGGGATCGATCTGTCCATCCACGGTTCTGGTTTGGGAATGTGGTGACTCTCGCAGTGGGGATAATCTCCTCCTCCAATGGTTGTGCTGTTTTGTGCCCTTGGCCTTATCAGCACCTGTAAAGGGAGTTGTTTTCTCAAACTGCTGACGCTGAAGTAAGTTCATCTAGTTTTAGAAACTTTCACTGAACAGTAACAGTGTCACAACTAAGCACATGCATAAGCACTTAAATACTTTAAATGAGAATAACAGAAAATTTCTATTACAGGAGCAAGAGCCTGTCCCAGTAGTCGTAGGTAGAGCACACCTGGACAGGTCACCAGTCTGTCAGAGGACTCACAGAGACAGACATCAGAGTAACAAATCTATTTAAAATAAATGTAAGCTTGCTGCAGCTGTATGTATGAACATGTGTTCTGAGTTCACCGTCCACCTCTACATCGCTTCACTGCAGTCTTACATATTTTCCCCACACCTGAAAAAAAAATTGATATTTACAAATAACAGATTCAGCTGATGCAGCCTGACTCAATCCTAAATGTTCAGCACACAGAGACACAGAGGTACTGTTTAAAGTTTAGTGTTAACCCGAGTCACTGATCATTTACAGTATTACAGAGTCTGGCAGTCTTTGCATGATGTCCACGTCACTGTAAGTATCAGATGCATTGAAGCTAATCGGATATTTACTGTCAATCTGTGGCTGTGATTAATCACTTTACTGGAAACTTTATTAACTAGTAACTTCATCAGTCATGACAGAAGCTAATATTTCTGTGCTAACATCGTTTAACCAGTAACAGCTTTACTACAATGTAAGCTAACGCAGGGGTGGGCAAACTTTTGATTTGTGGGTCACATTGAGTTCTAACATTTGACAAAGGGCCGGAACAGGAGCAGATAGATGGCATGCTTTGAAAACATCACCTCATTGGGGAAAAATACACATCTTGGGATATGGAGAAAACATGTGCTTTAATTTCCAATGAAAATGAAGAAAAGCATTACAATAAAACCTCTGACTTCGAATGAGTCTTTAAACACTGAAAATCAATAAATGAACATTTTATTTTAAAGCACTGAAAGTTCTGTTATCCTTCAGGATATCACCATCACTCTCCCGATGCAGATGTACTTGTCCTGTTCCTTTTATTCAATTTGTTTCCCCGGTGCCAAAGTCAACAACGACCAGTGCAAGAATGAAACAGTTGCAGCAAGTCAGTCTGCGAAGCGCTCTATTTGATCCGCGCGCACTGTTTATAGGCCACCAATTGAAGTGACTTGTCAATTTTATCGAAATCCAAAAACCGACGGCAGAATTCTCCGTGCAGTGCATCCAGTGACTCACTGTATTTCTTTACTTTTGCTCCGGCCTCTTTCAGCGTGGCTAGTGTAGGAAAATGAGTGAATGACTTGTTCAAAATCTGCCTGGAGAATAAAGCCAGCTTGGATTTGAAGGCTTTCACGTTTGTGTGCATGTCATGCACAAACTGCTCCTTCCCCTGCAGTTTCACATTGAGCTCATTCAAGTGTGAAAATACGTCCGTAGCAAACGCAAAGTCACACATCCAGCTCTTGTTGCTCAGCTCAGGAAATTCATCAGTCTTCCCCTGCTGCTCCAAAAACACGCCAATCTCCTCTTTGAGCTCCCACACTCGTTGAAACACTTCGCCCAAACTCAACCAGCGGACACAGGAGTGATAAAGCAGGTCCTGGTGATCCGCATCAGTTGCCTCCAGGAACGCAATGAACTGACGGTGCTGAAGTCCCCGTGCGCGTATGAAGTTGACGAGTTTCACCACAGGATTCACAACATGTATCAGCTGTAACACCGATTTACATAGAGATTCCTGGTGGATGATGCAGTGGAGGAAAATCACATTCTGGTCAGGGTTTTCATCTTTCACTTTATTCTGGATTCTCCTCAGCAGGCCAACGTTTTTTCCCGTTAAATCCATCTGTGGTGACGTTAACAAGCTTACTCCAGGGAAGCTTCATGTTTTCGATGGCAGCAGACACTCGTTCAAACAACTCCTCTCCCCGTGTTTGTCCTTTCAGAGACTCCATTGTCAAAAACTCCTCCGTTATTTCAAAAGTTTCGTTGATTCCTCGGATAAAAATGAGGAGCTGAGCAGTGTCTTTGACATCGTTGCTTTCATCCAGTGCAAAAGAGTAAAAAGTGAATGACTTCGCCTTTTTGTTTAAATTGGTGATATCTTCATCTATTAGTTCTACACGCGGAGTCCACTGTCCGCCGTGATAAACTGATTTTCTCAAATTTGTCTTTCGTCTCAGGGCACAAAATACCTGCTGTCTCTACCATACTTCTTTAAAAACTCGCCTCTGACAGTGGTTTGCTGCCTTTGCTATTTTGAATGAAAGCATAAAATTGGCTTTGGTACTTGACTCTTGCATGGCAGTTTGACAGTGAAAATAACTTTGCTGAGCCTTCAAATAGCTGCCAACTTCTCAGCAGCAGCTTCCCGTTCTTTTTTTTTTTTTTTGTGTCCCGTTTGGATCTTTAGCCATCAGAATTGTTGTCTTAAGGCCAAGAAAGATGCCAAGCGGATTTATTTTTACCAAGTGGATCATCATGGCCTTGCCATGTTGGTCCATTGATTGACCTTTATTATAATTATTGTATTATTTTATTTTCAGTTGCTACAAACGGGACAGACATGACTGGGGATAGGGACAGGGAGAAAGAATGAAAGAAAGAGAGGGAGAGAAAGAAAACCAAAGGGGAGAAGAGACGGTGAGAAGGGGGGGGAGGGAGAAAGTCGCACCCAGTCGCTAGCTGTGCCATTACCCAGCATACACCTCTCCCTCCATAAATGCAATTAACAATACAAAAGTAATAGCTGTATTTAGTTTATCTGCTGTATCTGCTGTTTCTCAGGTAGTTGTTTACATTATATAATATATTGTGTTCAGTATACATCACTACAATGTGATTTCCAAATGTATAAATATACGGACAACAGGCTCTTCCGCGGAAATCTCTTTGCCGTCAATAAACAACGTTTAGGGAGCTCTATAGTATTCAATAAGAGACCCACCACGTCAATTCTCGACGCGAGGGGTAGCCTGCGCGTCGATAAGTGAACCAGAGGGAGCCTGACCAGGCGTCACACATTTGACGAGTTGAGAGTGAGAACGTGTTGTGTTGGTATGTGTCGGGCTGTGAGCTGGAAAACGCCCAGCTATGTGGCTACAGAAACCATGTGTGAAAAGTGGTCAATAAAGAAAAAAGCATGCTCGGGCATACATGGTCGGGTCTGCAGTGGTATGTTTACAATGGGACTTCTGCTCCTGAACCTCTGCGCACAGTGTCTGCAAATCAGGCTGGCACTTTCATCTTTACGCAGGACTGTAAGATGTGAGGCGTGAGCGGTGTTTGTTTTTACCATAGTTCATGGTGGAGAATCGCTGCTCACATACGTATGTGGATCGAAAGATCCATACTTGGCCTGCCTGGGGTTGAAAGTCTCCATAAATGCACAGCATTTCGGCGGGTATGGTTTATGCGAGTATGACGCTTATTTTGAGCGATCAAAAATAATAACATATAATTTAATTTTTAGATTTCAAGATCACAATAATCTTCCAAATTAGAACTACAGGTTAAAAAAGAACTAACATAAATAAAACACACTCAGTTAAATACTTTATTTATATAAGTATATAATATTATTTTTTCCAAACCACATGGAGCGCAGTATAAGGACTAAAGAGCCACATGCAGCTCTGGAGCCGGAGGTTGCCGAACCCTGATTTATGGTGATGTTTCCTACAGATGGAATAAAAAACAATTAGATCTCTTCATAGTGACATTTTACCTACCAGCTCTTCTAATCCACAGTGAGATTACAACATGCATATGAGACATAATTTCACGATTCACAAACCAGAATGGAGACAGCTCTCAAAGCCTTTTTCTACTACTACTTGAATCTGTAACTAGTAGTAGATTCTGCTCAGGCTGTCAGGACATTCATGTTCAGACATGAAGAGATTCTGGATAAAACAGAAGTTTCCCAGAGGACTATAATCTTCAGTCATGCTGCTGTTTATTGCGAAATCATAGCCTGAGGTCTGTGCCGTACTTAAGAAACAAACGCAGACAACATGAACCTGTCTCTCAAAAATGTGATCCATCCATCAGTTTTAATGACAGACGTTTTTTCAGTTACCTTGACAGAAACTTCGAATAACGAACAGAAACTACGAGGTTAACAAAGCACTGATTGTTTACAGCTCTTTCACTATCAAAGAGGAAAGAGCTGTAGCTTTCTGACAGACACTTTACTAAGACTCATACAATGGCTTGCAAAAGTATTCGGCCCCCCCTGAACTTTTCCACATTTTGTCACATTACAGCCACAAACATAAATCAATTTTATTGGAATTCCACGTGAAAGACCAACACAAAGTGGAAAACACATCGGGGATGCAGAGTTCAAGGACAGAAGAGAAGAAAGAAGGAGACGGTGAGACAGCGGAGGCTTGAAGCAAGGAGGAGGTATAAACCGTGTCTGCCGTCTATCGTAATGGGAAATGTGCGATCGTTGGCAAATAAAATCGACGAGCTCTCAGCACTGGTACGGAGTCAGAGGGAGTACCGAGAGTGTAGCCTGATGTGTTTCACTGAATCATGGCTGCACCAGGACATTCCCGACGAGAATGCTTCCGTGGAAGGCTTCCACACAGTTCAAGCGGACAGGGACAGCATCACTAGCGGTAAGCGTAAAGGAGGTGGGCTTGCTGTTTTAGTTACAACCGGTGGTGTAACCCTGCCAACATAACAATCAAAGAAAGGATTTGTTGCCGGACACTGAACTGTGTGCTGTTGGACTCAGGCCGTATTATTTACCCAGGGAATTCTCTCACGTCATCTTGGTGGCTGTTTATGTTCCCCCTCTGCTAACCCCACAGCTGCATGTGACACTATCCACTCTGCCATAGCTCGGCTACAGACTCAGCACCCGAGTGCCTTTATTGTGATCTCGGGTGACTTCAACCACGTATCACTGGACAATACACCAACATTCAGACAATATGTGGACTGTCCCACCAGGGGAGAAAAAATTCTAGACCTACTGTATGCTAACGTCAAGGATGCATACAGCTCCTCCTCCCTCCCCCACTTGGTAGGTCAGATCATAACCTGATTCACCTCACCCCCACTATGTGCCAATTGTGAGGAGGGAACCTGTGACCACCAGGACTGTTAGGAGGTGGTCAGAAGAGGCAATAGCGGAACTACAGGGCTGTTTCGAGGTGACCGACTGGGAAACACTCTGTGAGCCTCACGCCGAGGACATCAATGGGCTTACTGAGTGTATCACAGACTACATAACTTTCTGCACCGACTGGTGGAGTGGAAACTCCAGCAGAACAGCATGAGAGAGGTGTGGAGGGGCATGAAGACCATCGAATCTGTTTTTCAATAGATTCGACACCACAGTGTCTGCTCCCACCCCCACAACCTCACCTGCAGTCAGCCTGGAATCCAGAGCCACACCACTGTGCCAGCCTCTCTCTTCACATGTTGCCTCCTGTGAGATTCCTGACACCCCCCACCCATCACCTTCACTCAATACCAGGTTGAGATGCAAATGAGGAGACTTCACTCAGGCAAGTCTGCTGGACCAGACGGAGTGAGTCCCCTTGTCCTCAAGGCCTGTGCCCCCAGCTGTGTGGAGTCTTTCATAAACTGTTTATGCTGAGTCTGAGTCTGCAGAGGGTCCCGGTGATGTGGAAGACATCATGCCTCGTCCCTGTACCAAAGACGCCACGTCCCAGTGGCCCCCAGGATTACAGGCCCGTGGCACTGACCTCCCACATCATGAAGACCCTGGAAAGGCTCATCCTGGACCAGCTGCGACCCATAGTAAGACCACATCTGGATCAGCCTTATCAGCCTCATCTCGGAACTGAGGACGCCATCATCTACCTGCTCAATCGTGTCTACACCCATCTGGACCAGTCGGCGAGCACTGTGAGGGTCATGTTTTTTGACTTTTCCAGTGCTTTCAACACCATCAGGCCGACCCTCCTGGGTGATAAGTTAGCAGCGATGCAGGTGGATGCTTCTCTGGTGTCCTGGATTGTTGATTACCTGACAGGAAGACCACAATATGTACGTCTCCCACAGTGTGTGTCTGACAAGGTGATCAGCAACACAGGGGCACCACAGGGGACTGTCCTCTCCCCCTTCCTCTTCACCCTCTACACCACAGACTTCAGCCACTGCACAGAGACTGCCATCTTCAGAAGTTTTCTGATGACTCTGCGGTGGTTGGATGCATCAGCAGGGATGATGAGACAGAGTACCGGGCTGTGGTCGACTCCTTTGTCACGTGGTGTGAGCAGAATCATCTGCAGCTCAACGTGGCAAAGACCAAGGAACTGATCGTGGACTTCAGGAAGACCAGGAAACACTTGACCCCTGTTTCAATCCAGGGGGTCAGTGTTGACATTGTGGAGGACTATAAATACCTTGGAGTACACATTGACAATAAACTGGACTGGGCTAAAAACACCACAGCACTTTACAGGAAGGGCCAGAGTCGTCTCTTTTTTGAGGCGACTGAGGTCCTTCAACATCTGCCAGAAAATGCTGAGGATTTTCTATGAGTCTGTGGTGGCCAGTGCGATCCTCTATGCTGTTGCATGCTGGGGGAGCAGGCTGAGGGTCGCAGATGCCAACAGACTCAATAAACTGATCCGTAAGGCCAGCAATGTTGTGGGGATGGAGCTGGACTCCCTCAAGGTGGTGTCGGAGAGGCGGATGCTGTCCAAGATAAAGACAATGTTGGATAACACCTCCCACCCACTCCATGACATGCTGGTCAGTCACAGGAGCTCGTTCAGTGAGAGACTGAGATTACCCATGATGCACCACTGAACGACACAGGAAATCTTTCCTGCCTGCGGCTCCCAGTACAACGCATCC